TTGCGGCACACTTGCGCATGCAGTCGCGCGAACCGCGGGTTCCTTAACAGCATTCGTGGCGTGCAACGCGCTGGGCATGTCGGCGCGGCAACGGGCCTGGTGGTGATGATACTCACAGTGGTGATGATGATGGTGGTGGTGATGATGATGCTGATGATTATGATGATGATGAGGAGGAGGACCAGTGGAAACCCAAGAGTCATCAACGATGTTGGAATTAACCCTCCCACCAAGCTCCCTCTTCATAGGCCCCTGCAGCGGTCCATTCCCATTGAGGGAAGTGCCCCGTTGGAAGACAACAGTTTGAAGATCTTGAATCATGCCAAAACATTGTTTTCAGAAGCCAGCGCTATGTAGCAACCTGACTGCTGCGTGTTTGACGATCCAGAAGCGTGTCATGTCGTCATTTTTGGAACTTCGGCACAGCGAATCAACATAACTGTTGCGCCCGCATAGTCCTGATCCCTCCCAACACACCGTTCCTGATGCGTTGATCATGGGAACCCATTTTTTTTTTTTTTTTTTTTTTTTTTTTTTTTTTTTTTTTTTTTTTTTTTTTTAATATATATATATATATATCTATATATCTATATATATAGTATATATATATATGCCAAACATAATTTTCAAACATAATTAAATATTATATAGGGTTTTTGTTTTACCGTTTTTTGAACTTTTTTTTCAGGTTTTTGGTTTATTTCATACATACATATATATCATTGTTACGATTATTCCTATATATACATATAATAAGTGCACGACGTTAAGGCGAGAACCACATTTTGAAAAGGAACCGCCCTCAATCCGTGAAGCTCTTGTAATTGTTCACAAACGAATGTGCGCGGCGTTAAAGCGATAACCGCATTTTCAACATGACCCGCCTTCAATCCGCGTTTTTTTTTTGAATTGTTATTACGAATGTGCGCGGCGCTCAGGCGAGAACCACATTTTGAAAACCACCCGCCTTCATTCAATCCGTGAAACTCTTGCAAATTTGGACAACGCATGTGCGCGGGTTGAGGCGAGAACCACATGTTGAAATGGAAGTGCCCTCAACCCGTGAAGCTCCCGTGGAAATTTGCCACCCGCCTTCAATCCGTAAAATTTTCTGCGGATGTAAAAAAAAAACATATGCGCGGTGCTAAGGCGAGAGACACATTCTGACAACGACCCGCTTTCAATCCGTGAAACTCGTGCAATTTCTTAAAACGAATGTGCGCGGCGCCAAGGCGAGAGCCACATTTTGAAAACGACCCGCCCTCCATTTGTGAAATTGTTGTCACTTTTAAAGCTTCAGAGTCATATTTGGTGAGGAAGCCTGAAGCGAAACGCCCGGCCCGCCCTAAAAACTTGCTTCGGGGTCCGACAGGGAAGAGTTTTTTTTTTTTTTTTTTTTTTTTTTTTGTTTGTTTTCTTATTCTTTCTTTATATATATGTATATAAAAGGAGAAAGAATGGAGGCGGAGGAGGAGGAGGACGAGGAGGACGAGGCGGAGGAGGAAGAGGCGGATGAGGAGGAGGAGGAGGAGGAGGAGGACGAGGGGGAGGAAAAGGAAAGGGAGGAGGGGGAGGGAGGAATAGGAGGAGGAGGAGGAGGAGGAAGAGGAGGAGAAAAAGGAAAAGGAAAACGGGGCGGAGGAGGAAGAGGAGGAGGAGGAAAAGGAGGAGGAGGAGGAGGAGGAGGAGGAGGAGGAGGAGGAGGAAGAGGAGGAGGAGGAGGAGGCGGAGGAGGAGGAGGAGGAGGAGACGGACGGCGAATGCGAGAGGACTGGCAGGGGTGGACGCTGCTGGTTTTCATGTCATATCAAGCTACGTGAGCCCCGACGTCCTCGGAGTTTTTTTTCAGCGGGCGCCAGGGCTTCGGGCCGAGCTGCCAAGACTCGCAGCAGGCTGCGAAGCTACTGGGCCAACGATTCGCCAAAGTCGGGGATTCGGGGCCAGGACTGCCACCTCGCACCGTGCTTCGTCGCCAGCCCCAGCCGACTTGTAGCATGAAAGGGGTGGTGCAGACTGCGCCGCCCATGAAGCAGTCGATGGGCGGCCCGACTCAGCTCGGGGTTCGCTTCGTGAGCTCGTGCTGGTTCCCACGGCTCTCTTGGCGTGCTGGAGCGGGTCATCTGGGGACCGAGGCCAACCGTGGCGTTCCGAAGGGCGGCGTGCTGCCTCGTCCTCGTGGTTTTCCTCCCTCCTCCGTCTCCCTCTCCCCGCTTCTCTTCGCCCTTCCCTCTCCCTCCTTCCCACCTTCTCCCGTAGACCGTAGACTCCTCCGTGCCGCACCCCCAGGAGCGTCAGTAGGGTGGGTCGGGCGTTTCGCCTGACTTGCTCATCATGTACGATCCTGAAGCTTGGAACTTGCTGTGGTTTCACCGATGGAGGGGGGGCGTTTATACATATAACGGCGCACCGGGCCCGGGGGCCGAGGGCCAGAACCTCGACCACAAATGTGGTGACCGGGGCCCAGGCCCGCCTGCTGGGAGGCCTAAAATAGCTCTGGGGAGCCCTCAGATAGCAATCCCGGCGGCCCCAGACGGTCTCGAGACACCCCCAAGACGCCCTCAAGGGGTCTCGGGCGATGCACGATGCGTTTTGAATTGCCCCAGAGGCTCCCAAGACGCCCCAAGAGGCCTCTAAGATGACGCCCAAGAGCGCCCCGAGAGGGCAACATCGTTGATTTTCGTACATTCTCGCTGTTTCGTGTTTCCGGCGCTAAAGCACCGCCCAAGAGGCTCCCAAGGCCGCTCCAAGACGGCCCGAGATGCCCCCAAGAAGGCCCCAAGACGGCCCAAGAGAGCCCCGAGACGGCCCAAGAGCCGCCCAAGACGGCGTAAGAGGGCCCCAAGAAGGCCCCAAGAGGAGCCCAAGAGAGGGAACGCGAACTGAAAAATCAAGCTCTCCGCCCCAAGATGCTCCCAAGAGGCCCCAAGAGGCCCCCAGGCAGTTCCCAAGAGGCCCCAAGAGGCCCCCAAGAAGCCCAAAAGAGGCTGCAAGAGGCCCCAAGACGGCACCCAAGAGGCTTTAAAACTATTTTTTTAGAGGCCCCCGAAGACATGCCAAGAAGGTCCCATGACGACTTCAAGAAGCAGTCCAGGATGCTCCGAGGAGGCCCCAAGAGGCCCCCAAGAGAGCCCAAGATGCCCCCAAGAGGCCCCCAAGCGGCCCCCAAATGCCCCAAGAAGACGTACATGGGGCCCCAAGATTGCCCAACAGTGCCCTCGATGCATCAAGACTGTTTGCAGTAGGCCCCTGGGAGGCTTTCGGATTGCCTCAGTGTGGCCCCAGGCGCCCTCAAATCGGGCCTCCACGCAGCCAAGACGGCCAATGACCGTTTCAGATTGCAGAACATCACCTTCCGATTGTCCAGAGAACCTCGACGATGCTCCCAAGGGACCCCAAGAAGCCCCAAGATGCCCCGCACCCAAGAGGTGCCTTCAGCAGCAAATTGGGGAAGCACGGAGAGCCCCCCAGAATCCCCAGAAGCCTTTCAGATGCCCCCACGAAGACCCAATTGGCCCAAGAGGCCCCCAAGAGGCCCTCAGGAGGCACGACTATGTCACGCGCCTGTGCTTGACAGCGCTGTCCAAGATCTTCCAGCGCCCCCCCCCCGCCTGGGCTAGAACTTGAGCGCGCGCGCGAAGCGCGCGCGATGGTTCTGGTTCAACCTGTGGCAGCTCTCGCGTTCGCACCGCGCGAATTTGCTTAACACGTGGCAGCAGTTTCACGGATTGAGCACAGGGTATTTTTGACCATTCGGTTCTTACCTTAGCACTGCGCATGTTCAGGCTGACAGCTGGCAACACTGTCACGGATGGAGGGGTGGTGGCTTTCAACATCCAGCTTTTGCGTAGGCGCCGCGTTCACTCGTCTAACAACTTTGCATATGTCACACGGGTGGAGGGCGATCCTTTTTCATATTTTGGGTCTCGCCGTAGCGCCACGTGCATTCAGTTTCAAAGCTTGCAGTAGCTTCGCGGATGGAGGTAGGGTGGTTTTCAAACTGTGGTGCTCGCTTTAGCACTGCGCACATTTGTCTTAAACGTTTGAACCGGTTTTTCTGATGGAACCCGTGTCGTTTTAAACGTTTTGTTTTCGCTTTAGCGACGCGCAAATGGATGGGGTTGTGGTGGTGGTGGTGGTAGTTGTCAGAATTCGGTTCACGCGTTAGCGCCGATCGCATTTCGTCTTAGATTTTTTGCGTTCCCTTCACGGATGGGAGGGGGGTCGTTTTCAAAATGGTGTTCCCGCCTCAACGCCACGCGCATTTGTTTTGAACATTTGCACCAGCTTTGTGGGTGGAGGGCGGTTCATGTTCAGCATGGTGTTCCAGCTTTGATGCCGCGTGCATTCCTCTTTTTTGATGTCACGTTCAGCAGGGCGGGCGATTGTTCTTCTTCAACACGGAGTTCTCGCCCGAGAGGTCGTTAGATTTGAGGGCCCGGGGCTTTGAGACACGTAACGCTACACGGAACCATGGCGACCCTTTTTCAAAATGGAGCTGTCGCTTGAGACGTCTTCGAAGCCCATGGCCACAATGGTACACTGGTGCAGCAGTTTCACGGATGGGGGCGGTCCTTCTGCGAAAGGGGGATGGCACTGGACACGTCGATGAAGTGTATGATCATTGTTTTTTTCCCGCGTCCTTGAGGACGCGCCAGAAAGATGCAAGGCACTTCCTCTTCAAAGCGTGGTCCTCGCCACAACGGCAGGCTCAGCTGTTCTGGTATTTCCAAGGTGCGCTTCTTGTAGAGGAAGGGAGGACTTATAGGAGCGTATGAAGAGGGGACTTCGGACGGGAGGGTGTCTTGCAGCATCGCTTATGCACCTGTGGTTTACTCTGTTCCTCCTCCCTCCTCCCTCCTCCGTCCTCCTCCCTGCCCTCTCTCCCCTCCATCTCCTCCGCTCTGTTCTCCCTCCTCCCTCTTTCTCCCTCCCCATCCTTCGTTCTTTATGCCTGCTTGTTCATCCTCCCCCCTGTCTACCTCAACGCAATGCCGATCGTCAGGAAGAGTCCTTCCAGAACTCGACGTCGATTAACCTGGGATGCGAGGACGGGTGCGGCGTTCTGCTGGACAGTGGGACATCTTTGTTGGCCGTACCGCACACAGTGATCAACAGGCCGTCCGGTCTCGCACTTTTTCCGCATAATCATTTTGACAATCTTTTAACGCTGTCAGCCCTCCCCTCTCTCCTCAACCTCTCCTCGCTCCTATCCCTTGTCCCTCTTCTCTCATGGCCCCTTCCTCCCTTCTTTCTCCCTCCTCCAGGGTCGCGGGTTCGCTTCGCCGAGGTTTCGCTTCGCCGGGTTGTCGCTTCGCCGAGGTTTCGCTTCACCAGGGTTTGGCTTCGCTGGGGTCTCGCTTCGCCGCAGTTCGCCCCGCTGGAATGTCGCTTCGCTGGGGTTTGTGAGCGGGCGGGCCCTGATGGGCGGGCGGCACACTGTTGCGTGCGGCTTCTCACGCAAGCTGGCGGGCGCGGGCCAGCGGACCCTGACGGGCGGGTGGACCGGCGGACCCCAACAGGCGGGCGGACGGCGAGAGGCGGGCTGGCGGTCATGAAAGCGGGCTGGGCGAAACGGAAAACATGCGAAGGCTATGTTTGCGCAACGAATTGGGTCAAGCGAGCCGGGCAAGGCGAAACTGGGCGAGTGGGAAGGTGGGCGAAGTGAACGCAGACGAAGTGGAATTCGGACGGAGTGAAACTGGGCGAATGAGATCTCGGGTGAGGCGAATCTGCGCGTCCCCTTCTTTTTGTCGCCCCCTTGATGGGCCTGTTTTCCACCACCACTACCAGAAGTTGGAAGGGGGAAGGAGGTGGATGATGAGAAGGAGGAGGAGGAAGAAGACGAGGGGGAGGAGGACCCCCTCCCCCCTCCAACTTATGGTGGTGGTGGTGGTGGTGGTGGAAAACAGGCCCATCACCCCTGGCTCCTTCCTCTTCACTCCTTCCTCCTCCAGCAGGGCCGCACCCCGCATTCTTGTTGAGGGTTGGTGTTGATGGCGGTCGAATTGAGTCTATCGATTGCCCTCTGGCGAGATGTGCGATATAGCTTGTGGACTTCTTCTCCCCTCGGACCGTCGGCTTGGGCCTCGAGTGAGGGGGAAGAGGAGGAGGAGGGGGAGGAGGAGGAGGAGGATCGGGTCGGGCGAAAGGGGGGGTTTGGGAAAGGGGGGGTTACGAAATCTGCTGCATGCAGCTGGTTTCGGCCCCGCCGCCGGGACCATTCCTCGATACATGGGCGCCTCCCAGCGCCGGGAGGCGCCGGGAAAATCAGCTACGTGAGCTGATTCTCAAACCCCCCCTTTGCTATCCCCCTCTTTCGCCCGGCCCGAGAGGAGGAGGAGGAGGAGCGATGAGGAGCGATGAGGAGCGAGGAGTAGCGAGATGGAGGAGGATGAGGAGGAGGAGGAGGGGGAGGAGGGGGAGGAGGACGAGGAGGAGCGAGGAGGCAGGAGGATGTCGAGGAGTAGGAGGAGCGGTCCTCGACGAGCTCTCCAACGATTTTGCGAACGCGCCCCTCGATGAATTCCCTGCGTGCTTTTCATTCATGTGTGGAGGTCCATTAAACCGATTGTTATCACTTATTTGGCTGGTGTGCGAACTTCACGCGACGTCGAATTGTGTTCGCTGCAAATTTTCAGTGACTGTGCGCAGCACCTTTCTGCTCTGAGGGAGACGTGACAATACGCGCAGGCTGGTGCAGCTCATCGCATCCCCGAATCTCAACTGCAGCAACATGTGGGAGCTGCCCCACCTGGTGTTCGATTTGAACGGGAAGACGTTCTCCCTTCCTCCAGATGTCTACGTATCCGAGGCTTGGGCGGAGAAGTCAGTGTTCCATGCTTTTTCCGTGCCCTTCCCCTTTTCCGTTTTGGCTGGGGCTGTTGTGGTGCACGGAGAGGCAACATTGAATCGCATAAAAGAAGTTGAACATTCAAGATGCCCCAGAGGTGTCCTATGCCGTGCCCAGCTACATGCAGAGCTTCGTTCGGCTTCGCCACCTCGGCGCGGAGGCGCAGAGGCCAGGAAGACGCTGCGACCTCCTCGTCATGGAGTCGTATGCGAAGTCAGACGCGGGCCCTTTGTGGATCTTCGGCGCCGTCAGGGGCGACATCAAGGGGAGTTGAGACTCAGGGGACCATGGGTTCAGGGTGGCTCGTGTATCGATGGCCCATGGTCCGCGAATGCCTCGTCTTCTGTAGGGGCCATGGAAGTGATAAATATGGCGATGAATTTGATGGTGGCGATGACGATGACACTCTCTCGCATTCTGCTGCTGATGGTCACGAACTGTTTGCCGCTGACGACGAGACGGAGGATGACGACGATGTTGATTGCTTCGCGCGTGGACAAAGCTGCTAGGGACTGGTCTCCAGTACTTCAACTTCAGGCGCCCCCGCAGGCCAGACCTCCGTGGCCGTCTTGGGGCGATCTTGGAGGCCTCATGCGCCGTCTTGGAGCGTCGGAAAACAAAATATGCGAGAAGACCGAATGACAGTCAATGTTTTTCGCATCATGGGACCCTGTGGGTCTCTTGGGCTGTCTGGAGGCCATCCAGGACCGTCCTGGAGCGCTCTTGAGCCGTCTTGGAGCACTCTTGGACCCTCTTGGGGGCCGCCTGGCACCCTCTTGGACCGTCTTGGGGCACTCTGGCCTCATTGAATGTCATACGAGAGCACGCGGCAAGTGCCAGAAAGCATGCGAGATTTCAGGAAAATCTGTAATTGGGCCTCCGGGCCCCCTCATGATCATTTAGAATATTTCGTATTTTGGATTTCGGACTCTTGAGAACCTGAGGACGTTCCAGTCAGTGTTTCGTGGCACGGTGGTGGATATATTCCTATTCATATATCTTTCTAGGGCCGGGGACCCAGGAAAAAGTCCCCCCCCTGACGAATTTGGCCCACCCTGGGCCTCTCGGGCTTCCCTCCAGACGACCCAGGAGAACCCCACGAGAGCCCGAAGACGGCCCCAGAGGGCTCCCTGCGTTCCTGTGCGCTCCCGACCCCAGAGCGCCCCAAGACGGTTTCGGGTGCGGGCCCTTAAGAGATTCCTCAGGGGTGAGGACTGAGGATCATGGGCTTAGGCAAAAGGACCTGAGGACACGCCCACTCCGTGCCCAGGGCACGGTGGCGTGTGTGTGTATATATATATGTATATACATATTATATATGTAACTCCACATCGATATATGACTGCTTGTATTTGTATGTATACATTTGCACATACATGTTTCTATCCATACATTGATATAGTTGTATGATGACGTACACATGTGTGTGTGGATATCTACATATTTATGGACGCATGTATGCATGCATGCATGTCTGTTGTATGCTCATCTGTATCTATGTACTTATGCACGTGTGTGTATGTATGTATGTATGTATGTATGTATGTATGTATGTATGTATGTATATATATATATATACGCAGCCCCCCCAGCACCCATTGATTTTGCATCGGTCGTTGAGGCGTTCATTCCTACTCTCATTGGTCGTCCTCCCTCTCTTCATCCGTCCCCGCTCGTCCGCCCTTCCTCTGCATCCTTTCTCCGATGTTTGTTTCCCGTTCACTTCTGGTTATCCCTCATGCTTCTTCCCCCCATCGCCCTCCCTATCTTGATCCCTCCCTCGTCCTCTTCATGCTTCCCTCCCCCATCCACTTCTTCTTCACCTTCATGCCTTGTCCCCCAATCGTCCTCACTGTGTGGACCCATCCCTCTTCCTCTTCCTGCCTCCCCATCCACGTCCTCTTATCATTTATGCTTATTCCTCCCATCGTCCTCCCTGTCTTGATTCCTCCCTCTTCCTCGCCTTCTTCCTGCTTCCCTCGCTCTCCTCCCCAATCCCCCCTCATCGCCCCCCCTGTTATCCTCCACATTCCTTTTGCTATCGTAGCCCCCTTTGGCTAAAGACGCCCACGTATTGCCATCATGCCTTCGTCGTCGGAGGCCGCGCTCGAGCTCAAGCGTGTCAACAACATGAACAGAGCCCGCGTGAAGGCATTGAAGGCGTTCCTGAACAGACCCTGGGTGAAGCAGAAGCTGCACGAGGCGCTCAAGCAGTTCAAAGATGCATCGTACAAGCGCCTATGCGACGCAGTGGCGGACGTTACCCGAAAGAGCCACAAACGTTTCGACGACTTGCACCAGAAGAACATGAAGCTCAGGGGGCAGCTCTCCAAGGCACAGGACCAGGACGAGCAGGTCAAGCAGCTGCAGAAGGAGAACCAGCGGCTCGCGAAGGAGAACAAGCAACAGGGGGAGCTTCTCGAGAAGCAGCAGGCTGAGCTAGGGCAGGCTAAGGCTGCCCTTAAGGTTTCCCGCGCGAAACAAGGCCGCTTCCTCCACTGGGCTACTCCCAAATACAGGGAGGGGTGGGCCTGGCTCACCATGGACCCAGCGAGGTGGGTCTCGAGGGGTAATTCATCCCTTCGGGATGGCTGCGTGGGCATGCAGTAAGGCAGGCGCCCACGACCACCCCTCGCGGGGCTGCTAACGACACGCGCGCACACATGCTGACGCATTGTGCCGCTTGGCGGGTGCCCCCCCCCCCCCCCCGTTGCGATCGATTCGTATGATATCGCGTGCAGCATTCGCATGTCGAGCCACGACCGTCTCGAACTGCTACGGTGTGTTGGCCTTGGCCACCAGTTAGGGGGATCTTGAACAAGATCCCCCTTGTCGGGGGATCTCGAATAAGATCCGGGTTCAACCATGAGAGCACTCTGCCGTCGAAACTGCCCGCCTTCCGCCCACTCTCCCCGCCGCAGGCGCACTGGCTCAAGCTCGCTGCGTTCGCCTGCAGGCCAGCCAGGGCTCTCCTGTGATGGCGAACGTGCAGGCCATGGGAATGGCCTCCCTCGGCAAGGCCCTAGAGCGCCCGAGCCGCGCCGAAGATGTCCTCAACCGCACGTGCGCAGCGGCAGCTGCGAAGGGGCCCCCTCGATGCTCACGGAAGCGGCGATTGTTGGCAACGACGTCAGCAGTCCAGGCAGCGTGGCCGCGTGGGACTTGCCCGTCGAGCAATGGGAGGGCCGCGCCCAGAAGACAACCAGCTGGGTCGTGGACTTCGTCGCTGCCCCAGGCGATTTGTCCACTATCGACTGGGGCACAGTCAAGGAACACATGTTGAAGGGGAAGTATAACAAACTGCCGTCGCCTCTGGGGTTCCCCATGGCGACAGAGATCGCGATGTTTCTCAATCTGCGCGCGTCGAAGCTAGCTGACGGCGACTACCTCGTGGTGAAGCTCATCAAGTTCCTCAGCAACGAGAGGTTCAACGCCATCCAGCGGGGGCTGATCGTCGGCCAGCCCTATGTCCCTCAATGGACTCGCGACCGCTACGCGACGCTGAAGACGATGTACTTGATGCTCGAGAACATGGGTGGCATCTTGTTCAAGTGCTGGCAGTTCGAGGCGCCGGCCGCGGCGCCAGCGGCCGCCGCGCCTGGTGACGAGGACAGCGTGGAGGAGAAGAAGAGAAAGCTGACCGTCGGCTTCGACTTCATCATGGCAGAGGCGCCGCGCGGGAATCTCGATTACTAGCAACTGTTGTGGGTTGAGCATCAGCTCGTCGACCCAGATACCCCCATCCACGATTTGAGGCGGGAGCTTATTGACAGGGTGCTCAAGAAGATCCAGGACAGGGACCACTTTGCTGTCAAAGAGACGCATTACCCATGCCTACTTCATGACATTCGCCCAGAGTATCTGGACATCGCAAAGCGCATCGTCAAGACGCTCTTGACGAACACGCTGCTCGCTGTTGGCGAGGCCAGGTTCGGAAACAACTCCTCTCATGTACATCCTGGCGATGGCCATGGCGCGCTGGCGTGCAGACATGGAGAAGGCGCAGGGCAATGATGTCGTCGCGGCGGTGCGGGCGTCGGCCGAGATGGACTTCTTCCGCGGGGAGGGAGGTCGGGGAGAAGTGGGTGCCGTGCGTATTCGACGACGGAGACCTCTCCGACCAGCGGCCCCGCGTGCTCAAGGTGCGGGCGGGGGAAAAGCTGGCTGTGGCCGCGTTGCCCGACGCTGGGGTTATCTCGCGCGCGTCCTGCGTGGCGCGAGATATCTCCATCGATGGGGCGACGCGCCCAGCCATTTTTTCCTGCCGTGGGCGTTCTTCGACCCGACCCAGATGCAGGCGATGACTTGCGCCAGGTGGGGAGCGGCTAAGTTTGTGCGGGGCCAGGCGAGGTTCGGCGGGGAGAACGAGTGCAGCGCGGCCGCCGAACCGTCGCTCACATATTGGGGATTTGTCGTCACGGGCGACGACAAGGCGAAGAAAACGACGCAGTTCCTCATCGACATGCTATTGCTTGCCTTCCCCAAGAACTTCTCCAGCAGCCAGATCGGGGCGATGCTGAAGCGCTGCAACATACTGATCAACGCGAGGTTCGCTATCTACTTCCGCCCAGCTGGCCTGAATAACGTTGTCGAGAAGTATCCGCTGTACGATGCGTACTTGAAGCCAGAGGCAGGCGAGGCCCTCTGGGCGTACTTGAACGACTCCAGCGTTCGCCGCGACCCCGAGGAGTTCGACCGCCTGCTCTCCTTCGAGAAGAGGGTCATGGCCGAGCTCATGGCGAAGCACATGAAGTCCGCCCGCGCCGCCGCCGCGGCGCGTGCCAGCGACGACCAGGGCGCGGGGGCGGCCGCGGACGCGCCAGCGGTGGAGGAGCACCCGCTCAACCCGCCTTCTGACTTCGATAAGGGGGACTTTTTTGGCCATGGTGGCGCTGGCGAGGCCCCCGAGGCCGCTCCTGCTGCGCCGCGCGCGCCAGAGGCGGCGCCGACCAAGCGCATCAATATTGAGCCTGGCGTCTGGAGGGGCCTCAAGCTCCAGCCTGGCAACGACGGCTGCATCGACCTCCGCTCCCCGTCGCCGCCCCGGAAGAAGAAGGCGGGCCGCGTGTCGTTGGAGAAGGGGCTCGAGCTGATCCTGGAGGAGGAGGCGCATCTGCATCGAGCAGCGGGGCGGCCGCGGACGGCGCACTTGTCGCGGCCTGGTGGGCGCGTGATCGGCAGACCACGGGCGGCGCGCGCGCGCGGGTGTCCAGGGCGTAGGCGCGCCTTGCGGCCGCGGTCGCAGGTGTGCTAATTCGCCCCAGAGGGGGTGCCTGCGTGCCGCCCTGTTCGTTCCGAATTCGCGATGTGTCGCTCCCATATGTGCAACTGCTCTATCAAGCACCGTGGGCCGCGCTGCGTCGGGGGGAGCGCGCGCGCGACGGCATCGGGCGAATTCGGTTGCGCCCCAGACAAGGCCGTCGGGCGCCGCGCTGTTCCCAGCCCCCAGGTTTGCAGCGACGTCTGGAGAAAAAGAGCGGGTTGCATTGGCGGTGGCAGCTTTCCTTGTGCGACCGTTGGTCATGCGTTCATTGTTGCAGCGTTTTGGGCTATCAGGTCAGAGCGCGCGGCCCCGCCCCTCTCGCGCGCCCGCGAGCTATGTCTCGGTTCTTCCCGATTCCAAAGAGGGGCAAAGTCCGTGCCGCCATGGGGCCGCCGCGCTCGCGCATGAAGGCCATGAAGGCGCCGATGAAGGCCATGAAGGCGCAGAGGAAGGGCCGCGCCGTGAAGAAGACCATCAATAAGACGATTACGCCTCCCAAGGCTGTGCCTTGCATTCGGCGCGGCACCGCGGCCATTGCGAGGGGTCGCAAGGACAGGGCTGCCTGGGCGAGCTGCATCAGGGACTTCGTCAATCGTTCTGAGAAGTTCGTGATTGACAAGCTGCGCAGAGAGAACGTCTTGCCGAAGTGGGAGGGGGCGACGTGCCCTCACTGCGGTGAGGGCGTCTTGGGGCCTCTGATAGACCACGGGGAGAAGAAGGGCGGGTGGGGGCACCGTTGCAGCCGCGATTGGTGCACTCGCCACGTGGCGCCGCACTCCTTCCACCCCATTTTCAGCAAGGGCACGGGCCAGTCCTTCTCGAGCCTTGCAAACCAGGCCGCCATTCCCTTCTGCGCGGTCGCAGGCTGCCCGCGAACTACCGCGCGTCTCTAGGTGCAGAGGGGCCGCATGGCCGTCGAGAGCATCTGCGGCTCGCTCCACGCGGCGCGCGCCGCGCACGTGCGCGCCAACGAGCCGAAGATCAAGTTCGGCCAGGGCGTGGAGTGGGCAGACGTCGAGGCAGACGAGGTGGACTTGGGGAAGATAGAGGACCCCGCCGCGGGGCCCCGCACTGCGGAGCCAGTTATTTGGGAGCAGTGGGGCGGGATCGTGCAGCGTGGCGCCCCCGAGTCTCTCGTGTTGTTCCGCCTCCAGCCGAAGAAGACCAAGCGTCGGGCCCCTGGCCCTGGCCCTATCCGTGAGGCGGATTGGGCGCCCCTTTCGAAGAAGTGGCTGAAGAACAAGAACGTTATCTTCCACGTGGACGGGGCGCGCTCTTACAAGCTCAAGGAGCAGGGCGTCATCCACGACTGGGTCGTGCACAAGAAGAAGAGGGCCAAGGTGAAGGGCAAGCGGGTATGGCTTAAACCGTCGTACAGCAAGAAAGGTACCACGACGTCCCCGACCCGCTGAAGGCCGACGCCAAGAAGAGGATCTGGGTCAAGACTGGCACGCAGATCATTGACGGCATCTGGCGCGAGCTCCGCCGCTTCGCCGGCAAGAACAAGGCCGTCGGCTCCACGCACCTCATGCAGAAGGTCCGCAGCTTCCAGTGGGCGCACTGGAACCGCGGCAAGGACCTCTGGCACGAGACGGCGCCATGCTGCAGGAGGCCTGGAGCAAGAAGCGCGGCTGGTGAGCGATGGGCCTTGTTCTCGGCTCAGGTCGCGCGCGCGTGCCCGCGCGGTGTCGCCCTGCATGGCGTTGGCGTGAGCGGCGTGGCTCCATGATGTTTGCTTTAGCAAGCGCCCCCGGGGATTTGCTTAGCCTTGCTGCTGCCGCTGCTGCTCCCCGTGATCCCCCGCCCTCTGCGAATGCGAATGGTGGCCTCGTATATCTCCCTCCTCTCGCCCTGCGCAATATGGTTTTTAGTATTCGCGCCGCATCTCTCATGCAGCTGATCCGTTCTGTGCCGCGTCACTATGTGTAGTGCGCTTAGGGCTCCTGCTTTGCACGATGCAATGGCACGCTTGCCCGCCCTCCTCCCCGCTCCTCCCCCCTCCCCCTCTTCCTACCACTCCTCCCCCTCATCCACCTCCTCACCCTCCCAGAAATCCAAATGAAAACATATGGTTTGCGAAGCGAGGGGGCGGGAAACCCTGTGATTTCATTTGGATTATTGGGATTTCTTGGATGGGAATCAAGGAATCCTTTTTTTTGTTTGGATTCGGGGACCTGGGAACAACAAATCCACAGCCTTCGAAGGCTTTGGCCGCAGGAATCCAAATGAATCCCACAGGTGCCAAGTCCCCGCAATCAGAAAAATCTTAATGAAATCACAGGGATTCCTTGCGTCTCATCCCAGAAATCCCAAACATCCACATGAACACATCGGGTTTGCGAGGCAAGGGGGCGCGAAACCTTATGATTTCAGTAGGATTTTTTGGATTCGGAACCCTGGGGGCTGCAGCGTTGATTTTCGCTCGGAGGTGCCAAATCCCAAAAATCTTTTGAAACAGTCCCAATAGGACCATGTGGTTTTTGTGATTCTCATCCCAGAATTCCCAGAACGCCTAATGAAATCACAGGGTTTGGTGGCTCTTCGTGTATGCAGGATGGTCCCTGCACGCTTTGGGTTTCCTCTTCGAGGGAAGGCGCCTGGTGCATGTTCTACAGTGCGCTGCCGTTGGGCTCGCTTGCGAGTGGAGTCGAAAAAAGGCTCCCGCTGACGCCAGGGGAAGATGTAAGCGAGGAAGGGAAGGGGAAGGAAGGGGAGTGTAGCAAGGAAGGGAAAGGAAAGGAATAGGATTGTATAACATCACCAAGAGAAAGAAGGCGAGGAATGGGTGCTGGGGGGGGGGCTATCCATACATATATTTTTATTTATATATATATATATCTGTATATATATACATATATATATATATATATATATATTGTCGAGGGTTTGGGCCCCCCCCCCCAATGCTGATGCCATCGGGCCCCCCCCTCGCGCGATGGCCCCCCCCTGTGGGCGTGGGCGAGGCGTGGTGCCCCCCCCCTGTGAGAGTGGTGTGGGGTCCCCCGTGTGGGTGTGCGGTGGTTAGGGGTCCGCCTCAGCCAAGAGTCGGCGTCGCTGGCGCCGCCGCCGTCGTCGTCGTCGTCGTCGTCGTCGTCGTCGTCGTCGTCATGGTCGTCGTCGTCGTCGTCGTCGTCGTCGTCGTCGTCGGAGGAGGAGGAGCATCCGCATCGGCATCGGCATATGCATCGCCGTCCCAGGCATGACGTAAAACTGCTGCACACGTCCCAGGCATGACGTAAAACTGCTAAAGTTGACGGAGGAGAGGTAACGGAGGAGAGGTGCCGTCGTCTTCAGCTTTTGCCTCGGGAGAGTGGCGGCTACATGGGGAGAGGAAGCGGGAGAGGGGGAGCAAGGTAGGGATCCAAAAACGAGGAGTGAGGGATGGAGAGGCGGAGGCGCCCAACACGACGAGGAACCAGAAATTCTGGCTTTTCGGCCCAAGAGACCCCCAGGAGACCCAAAGAGGCTCCAAGAAGGGGGACAGTAACCCCAAGAGGCTCCCATGAGACCCGAGAAAACACCAAAAGAGGCTCCGAAAACGCCCCAAGAGGCACCCCGAGAGTGGCCCAATGAGCAAAAATCGTTGTTTTCCTATGGGCAGACTGATATGTTTGGCGTGTTTGCTTTTTCGGCGTCCACTGCGTCCAAAACGGCCCCAGAGGCACCCAAGCCGGTCGAGGATGCCCCCAAGAGGGCCCCAAAACGGCCCACGAGAGGGCCAAGACAGCCCACGAGGCGCCCAAAACGCCCAAGAACGCCCCAAGGCGGCGCCCAAGACGGGGAGGAGGAAAAGGAACATCGTCGTCGACGGTGTCTTCACCGTCGTCGCCTCCTTCTGGGTGTGGCGTTGCGTTCCGGTGCTTCAGAGAGCCGGAGCGGACGGTGTCTTCGTCGTCGTCGTCGCCGTCGTCGTCGTCGTCGTCGTCCTCCTCCTTTTCCTCCTCTTCCTCCTCCCCACCCCCTTCCCATCTGGGGGGGGGAGGCCCGAGGACCCTGGGACACATCCCATCTGGGGGGGGGGCGGCTGCCCGTGGGCCCAGAGTCTGCAATCATATATGTATGAATGTATGCATGCATGTATACATGTGTGCATCTATTCGTGCATGCATGCATGCATGCATGTATGTATGTATGTCTGTATGTATGTGTGTATGCATGCATGTATACATGTATGCATGTACGTATGCATGTATCCATACAGGTTTGTATGTATGTATGGATTTATGTCTGTATGCGTGTTCGTACATGTATATATGCATGCACGTATGCATGCACGCATACATGCATTCAGGAATGTATGTATGTATGTGTGCATGCATGTATGTATGTACATAGGCAGGTGTGTACGTATGTATGTATGCAATCATGCATACATGTATGAGATATGTAGATTGGCATGCATGCATGCATGTATGTATGCATGTATGTTTGCATGCATGCATGCATGTATGCATGTATGCATTGATGCATACATGCATGCATGCATTTACGTAAGTATGTATGTACATGCATATGCATACATGTTTGTATAGTTGTATGCCTGCATGCATGTATGCATGTATGCATGTATGCATGTATGTATGCATGCATGGATGTATGAATATATGCATGTATGTATTTACGAATTTATGTATGCATGTATAGAAATTCATATATACATGTATACATACCTGCACACATGCATGCATGCATGCATACAAATAAGCATGCATGCATGTGTGTATGTATGCATGCATGCAAGCATGCATGTATGTATGTATGCATGCATGCATGCATGCATGCATGTATGTATGTACGTATGTATGTATGTGTGGGTATGTATGTATGTATGTATGTATGTATGTATGTATGTATGTATGTATGTATGTATGTATGTATGTATGTGTTTGTACGTAGGCACACTTTCACACGCATATCTAAACACATACATCTACATATACGTATACGTACACGAATGAAAATTATCATCCGTCCACAGGCATGCCGTTTTTCCGGAAGTACTACACATCCTTTGCCGTCGGGCTGAACGCTTCGGAGCGCGCTCTCCACCTGGCTGGCAGCACCCCAGCCTGCACGCCGACGAAGAGACGCGTGGAGGTGCATGACGGCCCCTCCGACATGTGGACGCGGACCGTTTGGTTGACGAACCCACACGTCCATCGCTTCGGGGAGCTAATGATGGGCCGCGTGTGCCTTCGAATGTTTTTCGGCCTCCTTCCCACCATTCTCCCCTTTTTCCTCCTTCGGACAGCTCTGGACCCCTGGTGCAACAATGCCCTCGCGATGGCGTTGGCCTGGCAGGGTATATGTGCCTAGGAGGGAGGGCGATCGAAGAGGAGGAGGAGGAGGTGGAGGAGGAGGAGGAGGAGGAGAAGGAGGAGGAGGAAAAGGAGGAGAAGGAGGAGCGACGAGGAGGAGGAGGAGGAGAGGAGGAGGAGGAGGAGGAGGAGGAGGAGGAGGAGGAGAAGGAGGAGGAGGAGAAGGAGGAGGAGCAGGAGGAGGAGGAGGAGGATGGAGGATGGAGGAGCAGGCCAGGGCTACGGGCCCGGGACGAGCTGGGGCAGAGCGGGACGAGGTATCGAGGGGCCACTGGCCTTGGACGCGCGCCCCCTCCTCCCCGCCCCCCCTACCCCTTGCCAGCGTTCTCCAGCGGCCCAGTGCCGCCTCCGCCCCGACAATTTTATTCCGCGTCGCACCTCGCCCCCCCTCACCGCCCCCCTCCTGCCCCTCCCCAGCGTCCCCCAGCGGCCCAGTGGAACTTCCGCCCAGCGCCCCCTCCGCCCCGGCCGTTTTGTTCCGCGTCGCACCGCCCCCCCCCCTGTCCCCGCCCCCCTCCTACCCTCCCCAGCCTTCCCCAGCGGCCGAGTGGAACCTCTGTCCAGTGCCCGTTCCGCCCTGATTATTTTATTCCGCGTCGCACGGCGCCCTCCCCCTCCCCGCCGCCCCCCCCCGCTGTCCCACCCCTTCTCAGCGTTCCGCCGCACCTTTCCCCTCATTCCCCGCCCCTCCCTTCCCACGCCCCCCACCCCAGCGTTCAGCGGCCCAGTGGAACCTCCTCCCAATGCCCCCACCCCTCCACCCCGATCGTGTTATTCCACGTCACTTCGCGACCCGCCCCGCCGCACCCCCCCCCTTCCCCCGCCACCCTCCCCCCCGCCCCAGCGTTCCCCAGCGGCCCAGTGGAACCACCGCCCACTGCGTCCTCCGCACCGATACTTCTATTCCGCCTCGCACCGCGCCCCTCCTCCTCGCCCCCCATCCCTTCTCTCTTCGGCGTTCCCCAGCGGCCCGGTGGAACTTCCGCCCAGTGCTCTCCCCCGCCCCGACCATTTTATTTCGTGTCGCACGTCGCGCCCCGTCCCGCCCCCCATTCCCCCAGTCCCCAGCGTTCCCCAGCGGCCAGGGGGACCCCCCGCCCGCCGCGTGCCCCCTCCGCCTCCGTTTCGGGCCCCATAGGGAGTTCTTCGGATCCTCTGCAGACTTTTTGGGTGTTTGTTGGAGGCCTCCTGGGAGCATGTTGAAAGTCTTGGAGGCCATCTCGCGGGGGGGGGTGCGTGGAGCCTACTCGAGCTCGCCCTGTCAAGCCCATCTTGCGGCCCTCGTTAGGCTCTCCTCCGATTTCTCGCACCCTATATCCCTCTCCCGTCCTCCTCCTTCACCTCCTCCTCCTTCCCCCTCACTTCTGTGCAAGAGACGCGGCACGCGTGCCACTTGTTATTAGTATCATTACTATTGTTCGTATTTTTTTGTATCATGATCATTGTCATTCTCATCATTCTCCTGATTATTCCCCTCCTTATTCTCCTTCTCCGCTTCGTTTCTCCTCGTACCCGTACTCCTCCATCTCTTCCTCGTCCTCGCGCTTGTCTTCCTACTTGTTGTCGTTCTGCAGCCCCTCACGGCCTTCCCGGCATCCACGCTGCCATCCTCGGCATACCCCACCTTGTCGTCGCCATCATATTTTTCTTGTTGTTCCCCTTACGAGCCCAATGGGAAACATCGGCGCTTCCATCCTGTCCGATCAGGTTTTGTTCACGGCTTTCCTTCGCACCAGGAGTGCGAGGAGGAGGAGGAGGAGGAGGAGGAAAAGGAGGAGGATAACCACCTCTGCTGCTCTTGCGTACATGTGTCCGCCAGGATCATCGACCCCACACAGCTGTGGATGCCGTCGTCGGTACAGCTGGCAGCGACAACGCAGTACGTGCGCCTCTGAGTGCTGGGAGAGCCCGCCGAAGGCGGGAGGAGACCTGCACTAGTTCCCCTTTTTCTTCCTCCTCCTCCTCCGTCAATGGTGCCCCATCTTCTCGTCGGGTCACTCACCCCTCAGTTTTCCCTCCTCGCGCCCCTGCCCGACCTTTTCCTTCTCGCTTTTTTTGGGCAGTCGCCCTCTTCCTCCGCCTTCTCCCCCTCCTCCCTTCTCCGCCTCCTCCCCCTCCTCCTCCTTTTTCCTTCTATCCTTCTCGTCGTTTCTCCTCCACGTTTTACTCCCAGGCTTGCAGTTTGCCTCATGGGCTGCATGCCCTAATCATTGTTCCCAGTTGGAGCCTTCTCGCGGATCCCCGAGTTTCGAGCTCCTCCTCTTCTTGTCTGTCGTCTCTTCTCGGCTGGCGATCTAGGGCAAGAAGAGGTGTTAATTGGCCTGTTTGTGTGCTAGCGCTAAGCGGACGTTCGGTCCGTGTGTGCCCCGCGGCACTTGCGCGGCGGATCCTGGCTTGCTGGCTGTTGCGACCGCAAAAGTGCACCAGATGCAGTGTTAGCACTTTTGTGCGGAGCAGAGTGGGGGCGATTGAGACAGGGATGGGGGGGGGGGGAAAGAGGGGGAGGGGTGTGCGTAACCCTCGCCCTCCCTTTGGTTTCCGCCAGACACGCAATATCCTCCTGTGCCCGAGGGGGGCTAGCGAAGTTGCGCCACACGCAGGAAGTCTAAACGATCATCCTGTACGCCTTCGGCGCTGCCAAACGCACAACTGTCCTATTCGGCTGCGTCCCGCTGGGGTTCAGCGGAGCGGCATCTTACGCAGATCCTGAATATTGGCCCTCGCCCATTGGGTGGTGCCAGGTGCACGGTTGTCCTCAGTTTTCTGCGCTCCTGGGGGATCCAGTGGAGTGGAGCCGCACGTAGATCCAAATGATTGCCCTCCCCTTCGGGTGCTGTTAGACGCAAAATGATTCCTACTCCCCACTCCTGCGCCCTTGGTATGTGCAGTGGCGGTGCGTTACATGTAGATCCAGACGATTACCCTTGCTACTCTAGGTGGTGACGAACGCACGGCGATCGCCACTTTCTTGCGCTTCTGGGGAGACCCTACGCATCATACGCAGATCTACGTGATTACCCTCGCCACCCCACTTCCTGCCAAGCAAACGACGGCTCTTACTCTGCTGCAACCCTCAGAAATCCAGCGGAAAGGTGTCCTACGCAGATCCATCCCGTCGGTCTTCTAACTGTCATGCGTAAATCTAAACACGTCGCGTGTCCCCACCAGTACATCTAGGGACCAGGACCTCGCTGACTTAGTGCGCTGTCTGATTCACACCGGCCTTGACTATTCTCGCCCAGTCGCGCGCGGTCTAATCTGGGGTGGTCGGACGTAGTGACGTTTACACAGATTTGGCCTTACTGGTTTGTTGTTTTATGCAGGACTCTGTCCCATGTAGGTGGGGAGCATGAAAATACGTGAATGTACATATGTAGAAATGCAGAGAAGTGCGATTGGCTCCTCTGCCTCTTTTTCCTCTCCATCCCCTTTCTCCCGCTCGTATTTTTTGTTGTTTTTGTTGTTGTAATCGCTGTAGTGTTTGCTTATGCTGCCGCTGCTACTGTTGTTGTTGTTGTTGTTGTTGTTGTTGTGGTTGTTGTTGCTGCTGCTGCTGCTGTTGTTGTTGTTGTCGTCGTCGTCGTCGTCGTCGTCGTCGTTGTTGTTGTTGTTGTTGTTGTTGTTGTTGTTGTTGTTGTTGTTGTTGTTGTTGTTGTTGTTGTTGTTGTTTTTTTGTGTTTTTTTTTTGTTTGTTGTTGTTGTTGTTGTTGTTGTGATTGTTGTTATTGTTGTTATTGTTGTTATTGTTGTCGTTGTTGTGGTTGTGGTTGTGGTGGTGGTGGTGGTGGTTGTGGTTGTGGTTGTTGTTGTTGTTGTTGATTGTTTGTTTGGTTGTTTGTTTTTCACCTTTACATGTTCGTCTACACTATACCAATCCAGGCGTCCTCAATCGGTGGGGAGGTGGGGACAAGCATTCGGACAGATGTGCAGCTCACTCCCCTCTGGTCTGTTCTGTTCTGGCCTTTCCATTTCGGCGTGGGCTTTCTGTTATGAGTTGTCCAGTTTGGTTTGGTCGGGTCTGGTTACCTTGCCTCCTGGTATGGTACGAGCTAAAATCGCATTGTCTGGTTTAGTCTGACGTAGTGCTACCTGATGCGGTCCGCTGTGGATGCTCGAGTAACGAGAGGAATAGTCAGAGGAAGAGCCGGTGAACGAGTCCTGGTAGTGCGGCACCCTTCCTGAGAGGCTCTCGCTCGCATCTTGGGGCTTTCCTCGGCCGTCTCAGAGGCTTCTGATGCAGTCTTGGGGGCTTATCGCGGATAAGGACTCCTGTTGGGGGGCCTCTGGGAGGCGATCGATTCGCCTGCTAGGAGCCTCTTGGGAATTCCTTGGGGGCCTCAGGACATATCCTTGGCAGTCTTTGGGGCCTCTTGGAAGCGTTCTAGTAAACCTGTGCCAGGAGCTTGGGAGGACGTTTCCTTCGAGAGTTCGAGCTTGAAGACAGAATGTGCCCCCATCCGTGTATGCTTCGAAGATCTTTTGTGCTTCGGGATCGCCAACGTAAACCCAAAGCAGTGTGTTTCTAGCAATATATGTTGTGCCATCTACGTTATGTAATTGATGCGGTGCAATCTAAATGGTGCAATGTTTATGGTGCAATAACTATGTTGTACAATCCATGTGGAGCAATGTACCTGATGCATCCAATGCTGTGCCATCTATGGCGTGACATATCTGTGGTGAAATCTATGTGGTGCAAGCACTGTGGTGCAATGTCTGTGGTGCAATATATTTGGTGCGCAATCTATATTGTTCAATCTTTGTGGTGCAATCAATGCGGTGCAATCTATGTGGTGCAATTGATTCTAACAAACGAGTTGACACATCCCATACTCTTGCAAACATCCCACCCACCCACCCGCAACTTGGTTTGCAAAACCCATGCGGTGGCGATTGCGATACATGCTTGGCGTTGGCTGGTGAATCTCTGCGGCCGCGCCAACCCAAGCGCGCGCAGCGGCCAGCTAGTTCGGCGCGACCGACGCGGCCGCGGCGGCGCTGACCGTTGGGCACCCAGCGGGCACTTCATTGCGAGTCGGAGACTTGGGCGGGCGTGGTATGATGGCAACGTCGACAGCGGCAGACACGATGATGACGACGGCGACGACAACGACGACAACGACGACAACGACGATGGAGGAGGGAGGACGGCGACGACGCGAACGACGAAGATGGAGGAAGGACGGCGACGCCGACGACGACAACGACGAGGGAGGAGGGAAGACGACGACGACAACGATGACGACGGCGACGAAATAGGAGGGACGGCGACGAGACGCCGACGACGGGCGACGACGACGACGAGAGAGGAGGAGGAAGGAGGACCTCGGCGACAACGACGACGGAAACGACCACGACGCCAAAGAGGACGACGACGACGAACACGAGGAAACACAGGTGACGACATAGGCGACGACGACGACGGCGCGGGAGGAGGGAGGACGGCGACAACGACGACGACCACGCAAGAGCGCGCGCGCACGCTTTCGTTGAAAATCCGTGTTGCGAGACTTTTTTTGTTTATTAAAAATAAGAAAATAAACTTGGGAAACGATTTTGAAATCCTTCCGAAACCGATGGGTTTTGAAAGATTTCGGCATACGCGCGCGACGGTGCGCGCGTCTGCACTTCGTTCCTTTTTTGCAGAGGATTCTCGCGACGGCAGACGCGCAAGGGCGATCGACAGATTTCGACATGCGCGCGCGAAACCCGTTTGGTAGCATTTCGTGGAAATCTTGAAACCACCTATGGTTTTCTTAAGATTTCGCAAGAGCTCGCGCGTCAGTTTTTTAGCAAACCAGTGTTGCGACACCCTGTGTTTTTGTATGTTTTTTCGGAAAATGGATTGCGAAATCCTTCCGGGACCTAAGGTTTTTGAAAGATTTCGGCATGCGCGCGCGACGACGAGGGGGTGTGCACTTCGTTCCGTTTTTTGCAATGGATTCGTGAAACAAGTATTATTTTAGAGCAACACATGTCCCCGCGTATCGTTTTTTACATGGGAGCCTCGGGTGGGCCGTTCCCGGCCCCTCGCGCATAATGTAAATTCATAGTTAGGATGGACATGTGGTCAGAATCACACACACACATATATATATATGTATATGTATATGTATATGTTTATGTATATGCATATGTATATGTATATGTATATGTATATGTATATGTATAAATATATATGATATACATACCCGAAGTGGGGGGATAACGCCAGAGGGGGGGTATATTCTATTCTCGTTTCAGAAAAGAGAATCAATCACTTGCTCAACTTGAAACTGTCTTCTCCACCCTCCCACCCGCAACTTGGTCGCAAGACCTCTGAAGACCGTGACGGTGGGTAATTACCAAATTGTCCAATTGTACTTGGCAACGACACCGACGCTGACGACGACAGCGACAACGACGACGACGACGACGCCGCCGACAACGACTTCGACGACACCGACGACGTCACCAACGACTCCGACGACGACGACAACGACGACGACGACGACGACGACGACACCGACGACGACGACGACGACGGCGACGCCGACGCCGACGACGACGACGATGACGATGACAACGCCGACGACGACGACGACGCCGACGACGCCGACGACGACGACGATGACGATGACAACGCCGACGGCGACGACGACGACGCCGACGACGCCGACGACGACGACGACGCCGACGACGACGACGACGAAGACGACGACGACGTCGTCAACGAAGACGACGACGACGAAGGAGGAGGGAGGACGACGACGGCGATAACGACGACAACGACGAGGGAGGAAAGAGGACGGCGACGACGACGACGACGACGGCGACGAAATAGGAGGGACAACGACGAAACGCCGACGAAGACGACGAGGGAGGAAGGACGAACACGGCGACAACGACGACGGAAACGACGACGACGCCAAGACGACGACGACGAGGAAAGATAGAGCACGACGACGGCGACGACGACGACGACGAGGGAGGAGGGAGGACAGCGACGACGACGACGACGACGACGACGACGCAAGAGCGCGCGCGCACGCTTTTGTTGAAAAGTCAGTGTTGCGAAACCTTGTGTTTTTTGTATGTTTTTTTGAGACTTGATTTTGAAATCCTTCCGAAACCGAAGGGTTCCGAAGGATTTCGGCATGCGCGCGCGACGACGCGCGCGTGTGCACTTCATTTCGTTTTTTTTGCAAGGGACTCTTGAAAACTTTTGAGTTTTGATGAACGAGTGTGCGCGCAGAGTTGTTTTTGCCAAGGATGGTGGGGGGAACCGGTACCGCTTTGGCTGGGATGGTATGGATTCACAGGTCGGGTGGACGTTGTGTCAGAATCCTATGTATTTTACATCGGTTCCTGGGGGGTCTTTCCCCGGGGGGGGGAGGGTGGTAGAGCTGATTTGATTTTTAGAAAGGAGGATCTAATCCATGTGATGCAGTCCT